AGAAGATTAATTACTGAGGCGTTAAAGCTCAAGAGCATTGGCAAAATGGGGGTCCAGGAAGAGTGGTCATTCCTCAAGGGAACGATCCTACGGGCACAGAAAGAGACAATCCCATTGTGCATAAAAGGGGGCAAAGGGGCCAAGAAGCCCTCTTGACTGAACAGGAAAGTCCAGGAAAGCCTAATGGCAAAGAAAGAGGTATACAGACTGTGGAAACAGGGGGTAGCTACCAAGGAGGAGTATCTCTGGCTTACACTTGCAGGGAATCAGTTAGGAAGGCCAAAGCAGGATTAGAATTTAGGCTTGTGACAATTTAAGGACAAAAAAGTTCTTCAGGTATATAGGGAGCAAAAGGTAGCATGGGACTCCTACAAGACAAACTAAGGCAATTGGTGACAGAGAGGAGGGACAAAGCTGAGCTCTTCAATGAGTCCTTTTTGCATCTGTATTCCTACACAGACCGAGACAAATCTCCCAATTGGATCATAGATAGTCACAGGAGGGACACCAGCCCACCAACTGTTAGTGCAGACTTAGTAAAGGGGCACTTGGAGGGGCTGGATGTGTTCAGATCAGCAGGCCCAGATGAACTTCATCCAAGGGTGCTGAAGGAATTGGTCAGTGTCATAGCAGAGCCACTGGTACAGCTGTTCAAACACTCATGGTGCTCCAGTCTGGTCCCAGAGTACTGGAAAAAGGTCAATGTGGTCTCTCTTTTCAAGAAGGTAGGAGTGAGGAACTGGGAAACTATAGGCCAGTTAGTCTCATCTCTATCCTTGGGAAAACCCTGGAAAAAAAAAAAATCATTAAGGATCACATTTGTGGGAGCCCAGCAGGGGAAATAATACTGAAAGGAAATCAGCACAGATTCACTGCAGGTAGATCCTGCCTAACTAACCCCGTTTCTTTTCATGACCAGGTCACAAAATGCTTAGACACAGGAGTTGAGGTAGATGTCATCTATCTAGAATTTAAGAAAGCCTTTGATACAGTATCTCATTCTGTTCTTGTAAATAAACTGACTGGCTGCCATGTAGATAATTACATGGTCAGCTGGGTGGCAAATTGGCTTAGGGGGTCACACCCAGAGAGTGGTGGTGGATGGGTCGATATCGACCTGGAAAGATGTGGGCAGTGGAGTTTTCAAGAGGAGACTGGACAAGTCTATAGCTGGGGGCATATGCCCCCAGAGCTCTTTCCTGCCCAGGGCAGCGGGTAAGACTTGATAACCAACTGAGGTCCCTTCCAGCCCTAACATCTATGAAAACAAAGTGAAGATGTTTCTGCCCCATTGGGAGCAAACCTCCAGGCTATTAACCTGCTCCTTTCCGGGCCAGCATCCATGTAACTGAACCACACACTCTGCTTTCTTCACTTCTTCTTGGCCCCCATATATCTGTCTCTTGTCTGTCAGGACCTGATTTGAGAGGAATGCTGGAGAAGAAATTGGGTAGTGCCTAACTTGTGACATAGTAGTTAGAGCACTGTGATGAAATGTCAGAGAGCTGTAGCTTCACACTTCTTCTCTGCAAAGCTAACCAAGAGATTGGGTCTCAAGTTTCCTGGGCAAGTGTCCTAACCACTCAACTACTAGGGCTAAAATATAAGAGAGCCTTCTCCAGAGTCTCACATGGGTTAGCAGTTTGCTTCTGGCTGGCTACATTTTCAGGACTAAGATGTACATCCAGAATGGGCACATGTATGTAACCATGTATCTGCCCAGTCAATACATATCCTACCGTGCATGCTCAGTACACACATGCACACTAACATCCACAGTGCAGAGAAAGTTGGATCATATGTAAGGGCCAAAAATGTCACTTGTGTGACTATAAAACTGTCATATAAATGCATGAAGGGAAATAAAATGTTTCCCCTATTTGTTAAGGTACTTCCCCAGCTTGTGTGAGATCCAGGGTCTAGACTCCCCTCAGCCTGAGGAGGTTTGAACCTATGGCTACTTTAAGTCATTAAAACTCCCCTCCCAAAAAAACAGCACTTTAAACTCAGCCCATGACCGCACTGAGCCCAGCACATGTCCAGAAGAGGCATCACGTTAGTTTGACCCGGCTCACCAACATCTGTATACATCAGGCACTTCAGTGGGGCTTTTTTGGTGCTTTTACCCAATAGCTCTAATTAAATCAGCTATTAGATAAAAGTGCCAAAAAGCTTCTCTGAAGCACATGATCTATACAGATACTGCAGAGCTGGGTTGAACTAATACACTGCTTCTTCTGGTAAAGCATATTTTTGGGTTGTTTTTTTTCTCATGTCTGTTATCATCCTATATGTCCTACTTCCTAACAAAGTGATCTAATCACCAGATCAGGGGTTAGGTCTTGCAATGAGCAATCTCCACTCATCCAGTTGAAGATGGCCAATTGAGCAGGCAAGGGGTGAAGAGATTCAAGACTAAAAGGGGATCATGTTAGAAGGGGTTTGGCTCAGCAAGGTGGTCCCTATCCTGGAAGGGAGGAAGCCCTGGCTGCTGGCACTTGTCCCAAATACGTTTCTGAATTTTGCATTTAATAAAATTGGATAAGCTATGGGGTAGCTTCTGCCCCATTGGGGCTGGAACTGAGGCTAGTACCAAGAGCCCTGTTCCTTTCTAGGGCAGTGAAGCAGACTCCATCTTCTTGATTCACATTCTCCCTGATTCATTACTTATTTGGCTTCATATATTCCTCCCTGCCTGTATCTCACTAGTTATGGTTTTGTTGCGACTAAAGACTTCCAGAATTATCCCAGGTACACTATACTTGCAAAACACCATAAGTCACTAGAACAGATTTTTTTGAGCATTCTCTGAAGGACAAAGCAAATCAAGTAAGATCTAAAATCTGTGTAAGTGGTTAACCACTTATTTGATTAAAGTTAAAGCTGCAGTTAAGATAATATATTAACCCAACAGATCCATTGCCGTTGCAGACCTTGTCTCACTGGTCTTTACCTGCAGCACAACATGTGTGGTGTATGTGTGTGTTTCTTTTATTTCTTCCTTTTTTTTTTTCCTGAGGATGTACTCTGCAGCTGTGGTATGTGAGAAACATAAGCATGGATAATTGTATAGACCTTTTGGACAAATTGCTGTCTGCAAGTCCCAAGGACTGGACTCGATACTTTGCATAGCTCCTTCCAGCCATGTGCTCCTAATGAGTTAAAATATAAAATAAAAGTAGAAAAGTATTTCACTTAACATATTACAGCAGTTGAATAGGGGTTATACATGTTTTTCATGATGTAAAATTAATGCATGCTCAAATTGAAAAAAAAGATTCCATAAAATATACTTTGAAACACAGTTAAGAAAAGTTATAACAAAATAAAACCAGAAATAGAATTATGTTTTACAGAAGAATTTTAACATTTTGTCTTTATTCAAGCTAGAAACAAAAAGCAAGTTTTGAAATGGCAAAATTTCTTCTGAAACATGTTCTGGGTGTGTCTACATGTGAAACTGATGCAGCTGAATAAACTCCAGCACAGTTTGTGCTGGAGTTTATTGCTCTCGGACACCACGTTTACACATGCACCTGGGACCACATCAAGTTGAGCCAGGGTGGTACAGCTGCAGTTTGCAAGGGGCTGTAGGGTCAGCCTGCCAGCCTGGGGCTGCTGTGACCTGGCTTAAGTGCCGCAGAGGTGCTGGGTGGGGCACAAATGTGCTTCATTGTGGGGGCTAGCTGATAGGCAGCCTCTGCACTGAAGCACTCTTGTACCCCAGCCAACCCTATCAGCATCTATATGTGCACTGCGGTGGAGTAAATAACTCCACTGTAAGATAGTTCTGCCCAACACAAGTACTATCTTATGGTGGACTTAATTAGTTTACTCTGTCCTAATAGCATCACACATATAGATGGTAACATTGTACTGCAGAGCTAATTAGTTAACTCTGCAGTAAATGTCTCATGTAGATGTATCCTCTGAGAGTCGATGGCTAAACACCTTGCCACCACGTGGTAATATATCCTACAATGTCTGCTAGGTAGATTAAAATCTATACAACAGCATGCCAATACCTCTCATCATGGTCCTATGTAGATATTGAACAGAAGTTGGAATGATGTGCCCTGAAGGTAAAGCCAGTTGAGAGGAGGAGCAATTATCCATCACAACCTTTCAATATCTGCCAGACACTGTAGTACTGGGCATCAGTTTATATTATATTGTGTAAATTGGGTAAGCACCAATACCTTGTGGTCCACTGAGTCATAGGATGCCAAAAGGTCGAGCAGTGTGAGGATTTTGCCTATTTTTGTAAACATAAAGATGTCTAGATGCAGAGCTGGCTGCAAGGATGGCTATTACCATGACTCTTCATTTCCTGATTTTCAGAGCTTTAAAAGCAGAGCTAGACTTTCCAGGACACCAGGTATTACCAGGCAACATTAACTAAATGTTAATACAGTCCTAATATTAAGACAGTTGTGTATTCAGAAGACAGCAATAATTTAGACTTAGTTAAAAAAAAAAAAATGTGGGAACTTATGTAATAAATGCAAATAAAAGTCAAGGAAGCACATGTGGATATACCATGTATCTACTGTATCTGATTTTTGTACACTGCTGGATTTTTTTCCATTCTCATCCCTGCTCTTTCCAGCTGTCTCTCGGTTTTGAAATGTTTCCTTTATGTAGTGTAAACATTTCTCAAAGCCCAACCTCAGAAACTCCTATTTTGCTTGTAAGTGGTCAACTGAAATACATCTGCTTGTTACAGTGAATATGGATCTAATGTTTTTCTACAGCACTGATTGTGATATACCAAAATAAACGCCAATGAATTTAAGTTTGTTTGTGTTTCTCTTTCCCCCCAAATACCATGTATCATATTAAGGCAGTATCAACATAAAAAAAAGCAATTTTACATATGCACTCTAAAATTTTATACAAAAAAAACCAACAAAAACATTTAGGAAATGAATGTATCATACTTTTATATTAGAATAGCCTACTTGTTTTAAATCCACATAGGTACAAAAACTGACATTGATGGAAAACCTCTGAGAGTATTTTTTGCTCACTAAGCACAAATTTGCATGATGGCAAACAGTTTCTCCATTACTGCTGATATTAAGAGGCTGTATTCATCTACTTGACAATTTTGTTGCTTTTTTTCTTCCCCTGTTTCTCACAGTTCCTTGCAGCACTGGAGAGTGGAGATCCTTCATTTAGCTGTCATCTAGAACCAAAGATTTAGTCTGACACCAGAACTCAATTTAAAGGAATGAGATTATTGTGATGCAAAATAATTCAAAGTGTCTACAATTAAGGTATGTAAAGTGTATGGCAATTCTAATGGATCTGTTGTTCACATTTTTCCTCAATTGCTGCATAACACACTAAAACATATGTTTTAAATTACACAAAAATATATTTTATGATGTTTCACTGAAAGCAGGGCAATCTGGAGGACAGAATTTCCCAGCAGCAACAAATCTGGCTTGGCAGTGTTGTTATGTTTTTATATCCTGGAATTTTTTTTTTTTTTTGGGGTGGGGGGGGGGGGGGAAAAAGAGTGGCGAGTGAAAAGAGGAAAGAAAGACATTGGAGGAGGGCATTTTTTTTCTGTTGAAACATTGTAAAAGCACAAATTAAGGGATTAAGGAGTTCAGGAATCAACCAGAACTCACAATGACTAGCTATTTATATATTATGCTAAACAAAAAAACCTAAGGGATTGCTAATACAGTGTATATTAGGAATTTAACATTCACTCAATTTAGTATCTTGTTCTCCTTAAAAAGCTTGGGCTATATTAAAGACTTCAATACACTGAAACAACTCAGTACTTACCTACAGCTTGCATTGTTACAATGTGCATATACCTGTAGCTATACTGAACTGATAACATCAGCATTATAGAACACTATGGGACTCCCAACCTATTTATGATATCCTTTGTTTTTAGCATTTTTGCTTTATTTTGAAGCAAACTAGAAGCTACAGACAACAGGGTTAAAAAAAAAGCTGAGAATTCAAAGCTGGGTTCTGCGGTTTGTTTCTTCGTAATTTTGAGAGCAAGGCTCGCCTTAGACCACAGATGTTTTATTTCTCATGTACATCAAACAAGATGTTTTGTGTTAAGAGAACAAGTTGTTCAGATTGCAGTGTTAAGCGGCCTCCCACAATCAGAAAAGACCCAATAAAACTATGTGGCTAGTGGTGGAATTGGCCTCTTCTGCAGTTTAACTACAAGCCAGAAAGGAGACTTTTGAATCAGTATCCTATGGAATGGAAGGGTAAGCCAAAGGTTAATATGATTCTCTGAAAATTACTGCTGAAGTCATCATTATTAAAAGCACTACAACAAAGAACAAGAGGAAGAAAAATAGGAAGGTAACAGGGCTATGGACAGATGGATAGAAACCTATAGAATACATACGTGTTACTTAATTTCTCCAAAGAATTATGTATACTTAAGCAGCTAATAACTGGAGGTACAAGTAGTTTCTAGGACAATACTTAACAGAGGTAAATTCAGTAAAGGACACACTAGTTTGCTTCCCCATGGAATTAGAGTTGCTGAAATTGTTTGCAAAACCTAAAAAAAAAAAAAAAAAACACAAAACTCTCAGTTGCCCTTTGCGAGCTATTATTTCATTTCAGTCTTTAATGTAGATCTACACAGGAAGCCCAAGTGAATGTGTGTTTCTTATAAAAGATTATCAAAGAGGCCAGTCTTAACGGACTGGCCAATGGCAACATCCTGAGGGATAGCCAGCACAGGTTTGTTGCGGGTAGGTCTTGTTTGATTAATCTTATTTCCTTTTATGACCAGGTGACCTATCACTTGGGCAAGGGAGAAGAGATTGATGTTGTATATCTCGACTTCAAAAAAGCCTTCAATCTGGTATCCCATGATCACCTCTTGGCGAAACTGGCTAACTGCAACCTCGGCCTCACCACGATCTGCTGGCTGGGGAATTGGCTCTGTGGTTGGACCCAGAGGGTGGTGTTTGATGGAAGTCAATCGTAGTGGTGCCCTGTGACCAGTGGGGTCCCTCAAGGCTCTGTCCTTGGGTCTATACTATTCAACATCTTCATTAATGATGTGGACATTGGTATCAGAAGCGGACTGGCCAAGTTCACCAATGACACCAAACACTGGGGTAAAGCATCCACACCTGAGGACAGGAGGGTGATCCAGGCTGACCTTGACAGGCTCAGGAAATGGGTGGATGAGAACCTGTTGGTGTTTAACACTGCAAAATGTTAAACACCTTGGGAGGAAAAATCTGCAGCATGCTTAAAGGCTCAGCAGTGCTATGCTGGCTAGTACTACGGATGAAAGGGACTTGGGGGTCATGACTGACCACAAGATGAACATGAGCCCTCAATGTGATGCTGCTGCTAGTAAAGCAAGCAAAACACTGGCTTGCATCCATAGATACTTCTCAAGTAAACCCCAGGATGTCATTCTTCCATTGTACTTGGCTTTGGTGAGGCCGCAGATGGAGTACTGCACCCAGTTTTGGGCTCCACAATTCAAAAAGGATGTGGAGAAGCTTGAGAAGGCACAGAGGAGAGCCATGCACATGATCAGAGGTCAGGAAAACAGACCTTATGATGTGTGGCTGAGAGCCATGGGACTCTTCAGCCTGGAAAAGCGCAGGCTCAGGGGAGATCTGGTGGCCACCTATGTGTTTATCAGGGGTGCTTACCAGAATCTGGGGAAACATCTGTTCACCAGAGCGCCCCAAGGGATGACAAGGTTGAACAGTCACAAACTCCTCCATGACCATTTCAGGCTGGACATAAGGAAGAACTTCCTTACTGTCCGAGCCCCCAAGGTTTGGAATAGACTGCTGCCGGAGGTGGTTCACGCACCTACTTTGAATGCCTTCAGGAGACATTTGGATGTCTATCTTGCTGGGATCCTCTGATCCCTGCTGACTTCCTGCCCCTGGGGCAGGGGGCTGGACTCAATGATCCTCCGAGGTCCCTTCCAGCCCTAATGTCTATGAAATGTATGAAAATAAGGGCTTACAATCATCAAGCCTGATCCCAATATTTTTTGTGATGTCCTCAAATTATTTCAAGTTACAGTAGCTTCAACTCTCCCTGGGGAATTTAAGGGAAAATTCTGCTTTATCAGCCACCCTCTATACAAAAGACAGACTTTGTACGGAACCAAAATTAACCAAAATGCCATAGCAAAATTTTAATACAACTGAACTATTTAAAATAAGATCCAGCCATTCCCATAGGATATGAGACCTTTCATGTAAAATCAGTAGGAAAGAGAACTCTTGAGGCCAGATGCTATTAGGCACAGCAGTAGACTTGGGCTTTTGAGTGCGTTTCTATTCAACCCCGCTGAACTCCCTGTTAATCCAAAAGGTTAGTGGGTCCTCCTCCTCATTGTTTTTTGCGACTTATACTTAAGAGTGAGATGTCAGTTGTTACAAGAATGAATGCATTAATGGATTTTCAGAGACTTTAGCACAGTGGAATAGTCCACCTAATAGGTGGAACAGAATCTGGCCCTGTTAGTTTCTCTGGCTCCCCTCTCATTTCATTTTCTGCTTGGCTGGTTGATTTCATTTGGCTTTGTTTCTTTGCTGTTGTTATTTTCCTCCTTTTCCTCCTTTTCCACTGTTGCAGGGTTTTTATTTATCTATTTCTTTTAGTTAGGGCTGTCACTGCTGTAACGTGCACGTGCCTGCATTTCCTCAGTCCAGAAAGAATGTCTGTCCAGTTTCAAACCAGTTTAGCACAGTCAGGTTAGACTAACCTGCAAAGATTGAATCAATTCAGGAACAGGCTTTTTGAATGTTTGTCCCTAGCTTTTAAGTCCTCTGAAAACAATGAACCTATGCTAAATTACATTATGTTCCTTTTCTTGTCTTTGTTTGAATAAATATGGGTATTAATTATGTGCAACAGCTCCATAACCTAAGCATCACCCCATATCTGATTTTCTACAAGGCTAAGTACAGGTAGTCAGAAAGCCTGAAGCTGAATCGATTCAATCTAAGCATCTTCTTCTGAGCTGCCTAGGTTGAACTGATAACCAACTGAACTGACATTCAGTTTTCAACTGGAAAAGGCAGGGGGAGGCCTGCATAACCCAGGCCTGTAGGCAGGGGATGTTAGAGCACATCTCCCAGCCTGCTGCCTCCCCCCACCGCAAGGCTTCCTCCAGTCTGGATTCCCCAGCCCAGACAGTACCTGGGCAGCTGAGGGGAGTTCCCCCCTCCCACTTCCCAGCTCCTGATTGTTTCAGAAGCTGCCCCAGGAGGAAGGAAGAAGAAGCCCTCCAGGCTGGGTGCCTGCCCATACAGCCCAGCATGGGGGCACTGGGGAGCCCCCACTTTGGGGTGCTTCCTGCCACCCCAGCTCAGGATTCCCCAGCCCTGGGCAGCCCCAAAGAGCTGAGGGTAATTCATCCTCTCCCCAACCCCATGCCTTAGCTGATGCAAGTCTCAGGGATATCATAGGGAGTGGAGGGAAATTCTCCTGCTCCTCCACAGCCAGTTTTGCCTTAGATGCTGTGAGTGTGAGGCAAAACTAATGAAAGGGAGCAGAAGAATTCCCTCTGTTCCCTGGAGTATCCTTGAGACTCACTGCAGCTAAGGCAAAGGGTTGGGGAGAGGAAGAATTTCCCTTAGGTGTCTGGGGCTGTGGGACCCTGGGCTGGGGTTGGGAACAGACCCCCAAAGCAGGAGCTCCCCAGTGCCCCCATGCTGGGATGCAAGTGCAGGCACTCAGCCCAGAGAACTGCTTCTTCCTCCCTCCTGTAGCAGCCACTGAAGCAATCAGTGGCTAGGAAGTGGGGGAGGGGAGGGGAAGGGAGGGGAGAGGGCTGCCAGGGTCTGAAAAGCCTCCATCACAGGGGGTTTCCCTTCCCTCATGTGCTGTGTAGACCCTGACTAGGGGGATTGGGGGTCTGTTTGGACTGGGTTGATGGACACTGGCTGGAAGCCAAGGAGCAGAGGGGTAAGGCAGTCCCTGTTCCACTGCAGCAGGCAGCAAAGCCCAGGTCTGCAAAGCATCCTGGGATGCTGGGAGACTGAGAGTTAACTTGAACCAGAATGGGATCTGGGACAGAAGTTCCATAAACTGGTTTGACCTAAATCAGTTATGTCTGACACTCCATGCAACCAGGTTTATCTTAAACCAGTTTTGGTCACTTTGAAAGTGGTTATGTGCACTGAACTTCTGTTCTGTTGCAGCTTTAAACCAGTATCTGTGGTTTCTCAGGAAACCACAACAGGTCAGAATTTAAAATCCGTGTTTCTCTTATGAATAATGTATAGATGTTTCCACACCTAGCAGTGCTAATATTTCACAGCACCCTTATAAGGATTTCATGTCACCCCAGGGGGCCAAAGCACCCCAGCTGAAAATCACTATTTTAGAGTAAGAACAGTTGGTGCCCAGCCCAGATCTTCAGTCTGTTAGCAGAGAAGTATATGGTTCACTCTTAGAAAGGCAAAGGGGAAAAAGCCTAACAGCTGAGATATCTATTCAGAGTGATCTCACAGGAGATAGAGATGTCCTGTCCTACCTGAACTCTGACAACTTCCGTCAGAATTGTTTATCCTGCATATCCCTCCCATGCACTTCAGTAGACCTTTGTGAAATATTGACTTTACACCTCAAACCATTTCAACCTCCATATGTTGTACAAACAAGCATAAGGGATATTTGCAGAGGTACAAATTTTACAAACATTGTGAAAATAACCACCATTTGGTTACCCTTCTCAAGAGCCCGCTACTTAATGAGACAGGAAAAGGCAGGTCCATTTTCAGTCTATACTATAATTCATATCTATTATGTGCTATTAATAACCATTATCTTGGTCAAATCCCAACCCCCACATTTCTACTACGAAAAACAAAGAGGAAAAATTAACGGCTGTGTAGTGCTATTGTTGGATGTGGTCCATAACATGAGACCCCTCCTGAGCATGCACACACTGATTAGAGGTGGGAAGGTCCTAGACTAGCTAAAGTTTCTACCTTAATGATGTCAGTGACCCACTTACATCTGGGGAGCCTGCACAGTAGCTTGTGTGGTCCAGTAGAGTGCCATGTGCTACACCTGAGCACCAAGAAGGGTGTTGTGTGCCCATGAGCATTATTGGTGAGAAGAATGACTGACACCTGGTGTGATTTTGGTGAGTATTTAAGGAATCCTGAGGTGCGATTTGGCGTGCAAATGGAATATGGATGCTTGAGGTTTGAATGGTATGCGAGCTTACTTGGTTGGTGATCATACCTGTGTGTCTGAAGTGTATGAGCAGTGACAGGGGTGACCTATCGGATTGGATACTTACCTGTAGAAGCATTATTGGATTGGGACCTTGATCATCCATTGGATTGGTTAGTATCACCCTTCCCTCACTCTCAGTCTGAGACCCACTGAGGGCCTGACTGTCACTCCAGCTTGGTGAGCCTGTGAAGGCCCTGATGCTGCCCTTCACTGCCTCCTGGCAGGTCTGTTTATGGTGTATTGCAGTTAACCAGTGTCTATAGTTAATGCTTGATGTTATGTATGTTTCCTACTGTTAATCTTGTTTTTGTTGTGATTGTGAGTTTATAATATACTTTTGAACTTTATTGGAGCCTCTATGTATTTATAGGGTATATGAGGGCAGGCTGTAGCTCTATGTAGATCCCTGACCCCAAAATCTATCCCTAACAGAGATAACACATGAAATGCCCTGACTGTCTGAGGAAGCCTAACAACCCTCCGCCCCTTAGATTTGGCATAGGAGGTCAGTGTCCAGAACACCCAGCATTATCCGCATTTCAGTATCACCATTTAGAAGATAATGTCAGGAGCGGTTTTCACACAACTGCTAATTTATTAATTAATCCAAAGTTAGATGTTAGAAATAATATTGTTTTCACAATATCACTTAGGCAGTAGAAGACGTGGGGTATTTTTTTTAAAAGAATAGCTGTATAATTCCCATTTTAGGCTCTTATTCATCTCAGCTTGATGCCTTGGATTTCTTCTCTCCCATGGTTCAGGGCCAACACTTAGTTTATTGTTACATGTTTAGTCAGCCTGTTTAATCCTACACTACACAAATCCCGAGGCAGTCAGGAAAGTTCAGAGGGAGGGCCTGTTCCATAAAATTATGTTCAGTGACTTGCAATAGGGAGACACTTCACATAAATGAAGCCCGCCCTTTTGGAATTCCTTTATATAAGAAACACCCACAAAAGTTACTATAGTTGACCACATCAGACCTTTGAGAAGTCTTCAAAAGGAATGCATCTCCTGCTCTTCTGTGCCTGCAGTGTCAGGATATTGTCAGTGCCCTCATCACCCTGATTTACTTCAAGCTAAAGGATGTTTATAAAGTTTGGGAATTATGCCTGGTAGTTGTGCAAAAGTTTGTTCCTGGAGTTTTTAAGAAGTTATACCAATGCTGCTCAACCTACCTGGCCTTGTACGCTAAATGAATGGCATGGGGCCAGTCCACAAACCAGATCCCACATGTGGGATTGGTCTGCCAGCTGCCCTTACCAAGCACAGTGTCAGTGCATGGGGTTGACCATGAGCATGATTTTGTACTGCAGCCCAAACCCACACACTAGATCGGTCTGTGGACTGACTCCGATTGCTGTTACAATATGGGATATGGAGCCATATCATCCAATGGATCAGATGATGCAGCTCTATGGATCACATCTGTCCTGTGGACCACAGGTTGAGCATCCCTAGGTTACAGACTCTGCAGGTTGCTCACCACTGGATTACACAAATATTTGTCTAGGATGATTTAGCTCAGAATGTTCCTACTATGCTTTGAAGAGGGGGCTGGACTAGATGAGGTAAAATAAAAAAGAAATCCATGGGAAGAGAAATACACATCACAATGTATTCCTCTCTCTCACACCCACCCACCCACACCGGTTTTCTCTGTGACTGAGTGATTAGCTAAATAATGACTAAGACAAGAAATTCACTGCTAAGAATGAATTAATTCACCCCCACTGCCTTTTTTTTGTTTTGTTTTTTTACAGCCACCAGACATGCCCAGAAGCATGTTCAACATTAAGAATTCTTTTACCCTGTGCACATCACAGAACATGGTCCATACTTTTCCTTCCGTCTACTATTCCTCTTTCAGGAGTTCTTTAATCCTAAACTCACCACTTACACAGGACCTTCCCTCCAGAACATTACATTGAGAAGTAGACCACAAGAAAAAGATTGCATTCTAAACACCACCTTATGGTTGTTAGTCGCTCCACTAGTTCCAATGCATAGGGCTGCTTGACATTTTTAGCAGCTTGTTGGCTATCTGGCACAATTTTCATTTGTCCTTCAGAACAGACTAGACTTGTGACTGGCAGAAATGTTTACAGTCAAATGCTGATTATTCTGAAGAGTATGGCTCGGTGCAGTTCAAATGTGTGTCACACAACCTCACTGCAGCTCTGTAAAATATCTGCAGTTTATGAGAACTTGAAGATTCAAATAAATTATCAGTAACTTGAGTTCTTCAGTAATTTCATACTACTGCACTATATTATTTTCAACTGTACACAATATATTATTTACCCAGTTTAATATACAGAGAAATGTGATAGGTGAGACAATCTTCCTGCTATATTTGGAGAAAATTGAAGGAGCATAGCATTTAACAAAACACTAACATTTTTCACAAAATATGGGAACAATGACAGGGAGCAACTGTCCTTTAAGAAAGATGCCCTCAACTTAATTTGTAGATTAGCTCTGCAGTGAAGTGGAATGAACAAAGCTCTGTAAAGCAGTTCTTGAAATCATAACTATGTGGCATCTGCTACATTGTTGCAGGTGTCAATATGCAAAGTTGCTGTGATAAGGATATTAATGAGCCCTGACAAAATGAACAAACTGAAGATATTTGATGTGTATGTTTTGTTCCTTGGAAATCCTTTTCTGTCAACATGGGCATTATAGATGTCTTAGGAGTCAATCCCAATTCCATTACAGAAATAGGAATTTAACTGTTTCATGCAGGGAAAAATTCACCAGCAAACATTTTCAAACTAGTATTTTGACTGGTTTTAACTGATGTTGAATCATACCTTGGCTATATCCATGGTTTTCAGCTTAGCTAAACTGCAGAAGCTAAGAAATGAAAGATTAAAGGTTACCTTGCCTTAAGCCTTTCCTGATTTTAACAGGAAAAAGAAAAATAGAAAATAGGGGAAATACATTTTCTTTTTAAAGTAATTTTTGAATCTATTAACTTTTACTGATATCAATTAACCATTCAGTAAAGTATTTTTTCCAAATCTAATTAATTTTAATTCCTATGGTATGTGTCTTGCTCAAACTAATATGAAATACACTTGTGTGAGATACACTTATTGGTTTATTAGTAACTTCCCTACAGGTTGTAGAGCACCCTGGCTGTTCTCACAGCTCATGGTCTCATTTTCTCCAGCATTGTGCAGCCCACTCCCACAAGTCAGTCAGCTCCACTCCAGTCCCACTCTCTTTTATCTTTCCTGCAGTACCAGTAGATCCTTTCTCCATGGGACCTTCTCTCAACTAGTAAGTTTCTCCTCTCTTCCTCACTTCGCCATTCACTGTGGTTACCTACACCCAGTCAGCCCGTCTTACCTGCAAGCTGCTCCTGTGCTGGGTCTACTGCTCCTGGCATCCCTGATAAATCTCTCCAAGCTGTGCCCCTAGGAGGAGGGAAAGGAAAACCCCTTGCTGTGGACCTACTAGCTGCAGGCTCCTAATCAGTTAATATTCACCCCAGGTGCAATCCCCTTCCCAACTGTGTTTATTAAGTAATTAACTTTGCCCTGTCCCTGACCTGACTACTTGCAACTGAGTAACATCAAAGGAACAGGGCTGTCTTTGCCCTGTTACACTGCTACATAAAATATTGAAATTAAAAGGATTTTTTTTTAAATAAAAGGTATATTCCATTGCAGGTACAGTAATAATGTGCTGGATTATCACTGGGTGGCTCTTTGCACTGTTTTTCTTAAGTTTTATGTTACACATGAACATGAATATATCTTTTTTTTTTTTTTCAGACTTCCAATTAAATCTTAATAAGAAACAAAATCTTAATAAGTCCCTGTTTTACACTGGTCATGAAACTTATGCTATATTTTCTTTGGACAAGAAATAGTGATGATAGGCAGAGGTCATTTGGACCCTACTGTAAATTACAGAAGCTTTATGTGAAAATAATATGATTCCTAAGGATTAAGCATAAAACTCCTAATCTATGCAACATACGTATATGTGAACCTTTACACAGCTAGGTCACCTAATGTAGGGCTATTTCAAGGTATTCTACACGTGCAATTTTAACACACATTGTGGGGCTTCTAACCTCATATATTTCTGTATATACATGCATACTCTCACTACAAGCTACCTACTGGAGTTAAAAACACAGGAAAGAAATGTCAAGGAAGATCTTCCTCTGCTAGTAAAAAAAAAATTGGAAAGAAAACAAAACCAAGAGGAATGATTATTAAGCAAGGCAATCCTCACCATTCTTGTGGTTTCATTCCATCTATGGAAGCTGTTATATGACTGAAAAGATTATCTTGGAAGCTTATTGGCTCAGAAGTTTTAATTGTGGATGAATTTGATGGATGACTAGCTGCTACTTCCTAAAATATATCAAATTTGAAATTCCCTTCAAGCTCTTCCTCAAGAATTTCTTGGCAATTCAGAATGGGGAACTTTCCTTCTGAAGTACTGGCATTACTCGGTCAGACCCAACTAGGTCATCTTATGTATATGAAAACGTCCCTATTCCACCAATTGGGGGCTTGAAAAATCCAAAAGTACCATATTTAACTGAATCTAAGATGACTTCAAATTTAAGAGGAGTCCCCCATAATTAGATCTATATCTAGAAAATTCATAAATGTGTTATATTTTTTTGGTATAGAATCAAATTATCAGAGGTTCATCTTAAATTTGTCCCCCACAATGCTACAGCAGGGAAAGGAGAGGTGGGAGGGCAGGTGGCTGGGGGGCATACATCCCCCATGGCTTTTATGTGCCCCACCACTTCTTCCCTCTGCAGCCTGCCCATCCATCCCCCCACCCCCAGTGCCTACCTGCTCTGCCTCCTCCCTCTGCCCTTACTGTCAGAAGTGGCTATAAGCTCATTTTGCTCCTGGGTCATGGAATACATGGCAGTGTAGCCCCTGCCCAGCCATGCAGCAGTATCACAGGGCTGAAGCTGTGTCACTGATGATTGGCCAGGAAGGGGATGGAGTTTCCTTATGTTCTGTGCCCCAGAGGGAATCCAATTAAAGTCAAAGCTGGAGTTGGGTCTGACAGTAAAAAGGAGGGATGGGAAAAGAAGCTACAGGGGAAGGGGGAGGTGCAGAGGCTAAAGAGGGCAGGCAAAGGGTGGATAGCAGACAGCTGCTGTGGGTCTGACTCTGGCCCCAACCCATACTCAGGGTAGGAGTTAGAACCTGCAGCAGCCACCTGCTGCCCTCACTACCTTTTACTCAAACCTAAGATCACAGAATCATAGAAGTAGGGTCAGAAGGGACCTTGTAGATCATCAAGTCCGACCTCCTGCCTGGGCAGGAGGAAAACTGGGCTCAAATGACCCCAGCCAAGTAGGCATCAAGCTGCTTCTTAAAGATGAGTGACTCCCCCTACCATGCTAAATAGTGTGTGTGGGGTCTTGTTTTAGATTCAAGTAAATATGGTATAACTAGTTAGCCAGGATTTACATAAGTATTTTGAGACAATGAATTTGAGGTTATGGATCAGTCTGAAGACTTTATTTCAATCTCTTAAAATGTTCAGCCTTGAAACACTGCTGCTGCTGCTACTGCTACAACTACTACTACTACTACTACTAATAATAATAATAATAATGCAAGGCTAGCAAAAAGTTGGGAGAAAAGTCTGAATAAAACATGAACTGGGCAGGCTTAAACAGACATAGGCATTCTATCAATGGTTCTTATAATTTCTCTTTTAAATTGAGCATTGTGCAGAGCTTTTTCTTATACAAAATCTAGATGGAAGATTATATTTTAAACTGGACAAAGTAAAATTATTTTCTTCCTAAAAATATAATTTTTAAATTCAAGTTTTATATAAAGGCCTACCTCACACCATTTTAAAACAATCTATTCCATGGATTTTAGTATAGGTAAGAGAACAAAATGGTTAGGGAATTATATAAATATTAGCAGGTGACAAAAACAATTTTTTCACTATATGTAGACTCAGAATTATTCTTCCCAATCTGACATAATCACACTCCATTAAGCTTTTACATGGAAATGTGCCTGTTGGGTCAAATGCAAAGAAGTAACATTAGAGATGGATTTGACTTGGTGTGTGTGGTTGTAGGCATGTAATTTCCCTTCTTTTTGCTATTTATAAGATTAGTATAATGATGGAGAAAACTATTTATAAATCAAACATGCCTTCTAAGAGGTGGGTAATTGTTTTTGTTAATTCATATCTTATACTACTATCACTGATTATAAATTGGCATTCTTTCACTCTGAGTTCAGGACCAGTCAGATCAAGGTAGAGTTTAGATACAGATGATGTCTTTCAAGTAAGAGTTTTTTGGAGACTCTGGGTGCTGATGCATATGTCCATGTTATTGAGATGTCCTTCAGGGTCTTGGGCAGAATTCTCTAAGGAAGCTTTGTGTGGCAGTGCACCTTTGGGTGCCTGCCAATTTAAGGACAGAGTCAGGCAGCCATTTTGAGAACCAGGTATATAGAAGCTGTAGTTTGCTGCTACCAGCTCAGGCAGAAACTTTGCCTGGCTAAGCTGCAGCAGGAACATCAGAAGGTAAGAGCAAGAGGCTCTTGGTCTTGGGCATGACCTAAACCTGCATCCTGCCAGGGATGGGTGGCCTGGTGGGGCTTTCAGTTGTGTGGGAGCCCCCAGGAAATGCCAGGCCAGTTACCACCCTGGTGAAAGGCAGATTGGGGTGCCTTAACCCCTAGCCCCCATAATTCAGTGGTTATGAGGGCCAGGCACAGCTATAGTCACCTGAGCTCTAGGGGGTGGAAGACCCCAGGAGAGGAATGGGGCCAGGCATGGCTCTGGCCACCTGAGAACCTCAGGGGAGGAAGATCCTGGAGGCCCCTGGTCAGGGATAGTTGTGTGGCCCTGGAGACAGAGGTCAGTTGTGAAGGCCCTGGGAAGGCAAGGATGTAGGTGGCCCTGCACAGAGTAGGGTTGAACAGGAGTAGGCCTGAAGGGCAGTCACAGGGGTGTGTTGAGTAGGGCCAAACTGGGAGTAAGCCTGAAGGGCAGTGCAAGGGCCAGTCCCATGAGGAGTTGACTGTGAAGATGATGAGAAGACCCTAGGGTGGCCCATGGTGTAGAGGCCCTCGAGTGAGCATAGTAGGAACCCCATGTATAGGGAGTAGGCCAAGGTATGTTTTTCGATGCCTGAGGCCAAATAGTGGGGCTCAGCCAGGAAGCTAGGGGTGAGTTCTGATACCAGTAAGTCCTCCACTGCAAGGAGACCAAGTGTGGGTCAAAAAATTACAGAAGGGAGAGCACAATGAACTGCTGCTCCAGGGAGGGAGGGAGAGTCCCTGTGAGACCCAGGAGCACCAGTCATAGTGTGAGGGAACATTGTGTGTGTGTGTGTCATCTGCAAGGCTTGGGATGCAGTACAGGGGTGGTTGGAGCTGCATACATAGGCCAGGAGAACAGAGCCGTCAAAGGGCAACCTCGCATCTAGTTAAGACACCAATTATTAAACAATAAGGTATGGCAGGTGAGAGAGGTGGGTGGTTAGCCCAGAAACAGGTGGGTAGGCCAACTCCTAATTGGCCCCAGGAAGGCTCCCTGTTACACTGTGAAAATCAGCAGTATTTTAGTTTTGTCTCTTTGTGGTCTTTCTAATTCCATTCTTATGGGTTTTTTTTTTTCTTTGCCAGATGTTCATCATCATAGACAAATGATGTCTCTGATTCATTCATTCAGCAATCCTTTGCATTGAAGGATGATTGTCTTCCATAATCATTTTATTTGTGAGCCTAAGGTGGCTGACAAGGCCTTTATGGGATCAACAGACTCTGTTGCAGCTCAGGCACATGTTACTGTGTTGGGTGGCTCTGGTTTCTTGGTTCAGTCTGCAGCATGCTGTTTCTGTTGCTCCCATTTTTTATGAGGTCAAAGAAGGATGTATAGAGAGGTTTATGTTGTTCCCAGAACTTTTCCTGCAGTTGGCAAGCTGTGAAGTTTATGTCAGTTGTGCCTCTTAATGCCCTAAACCCACACTGAGATTCCTGAGGAACTCTTCAGCAAGTGGAAGGAGATGGTTTAGGAGGGTACTAGCAATGATCTTTCCTGTGGTGGACAGCAAGGTGATCCCTTTGTAATTTCCACAGTTGGACTTGCCTCCTTTCTTGAAGATTGCCATGATCATGGTATCCCTGAGGTCATCTGGGATTTCCTCATCATTCTAGTTCTTTAAGATGAGGGCATGGAGTTGTGGTCTGAGCGTCTCCTTGGCTTTTTTTTTAACATTATTGCTGCTGATAAAGCCATGTTCTAAATGACCAATGTGACTGCAGTTTTTTGGAGAGATTTGTGCGTCAATGGCTTGCCTTTGATTTTTGAATACAGTTAGTGTTTATCCGCCAAGAAGACAGGACATAAGATTTGGCATAGCGAAGCTCTGTAATAGATAATGGTAAGAGGAAAAGGAGATAAAGAGTGGAGTTAAGAAAAACGTCTTCCTTTAGGCCTCCACACATGAGAATTTCATTGTAGGATATTTGCTAAAACCTTACTCTTTCCAGGTTAGACTCTTTCAGGCAAAATATATTTTAAAGAATAAATGCATAAGCATCAAACCAAATAAAAGTTTGATAAATGTGTATTCAGTGGTCAGTACACACACATGGGCCCTCATATTTTAATTTAAACCATTTTAAACTGTACTATATATTAGTAACTTTTAAATAGATGCACTTTCACCCAAGCTAATATAATTTAATACCAATGCATATTTACTGTTATTACATTTTTATGGTATTTTTCCTGTATAGCACCTCATAGGCGTTAAGTTGGTTGAATTCTCTAAAAAAAAAATCTGGCTGTTTTGAGAACAATAGTCCTATTCACAAGTAACATTAAGTGCTTAGCAATTTATAGCTCTTATTTACACTTAGTTTGTTCAATATATGCAGTATAAATTTTCATTGGGAACCAAATACATTAATATATCTGTGTACAATGAAATTGAATAACACATCTGAAGGGAAATGTCCTTCCTTTCCATCAAAAATGGCCTTTTAAGCTAAGTATAGGCAACAGATTTCCCAATAAACATAAAATACAATTTACAGAAATGTTAAAACAAAACAAAAATGTTTCTTAAGTACTTTATTTAACATTAAAAGCCCCAAATAAAAATGAATTGGGGATGGGTGGAGGGGGAGAGAGAGAGAGAGAGAGAGAGAGAAGTCACCCTGTTGTACTGGAGCAGTAAAATGGACAGTGTTATAAATGATGGCAAGGCTCCAGTTTTTTAGGACTGTTTCATTTAAAATCTAAACATTGAATCTCCATACAGTGTTTAGAGGCTTCTCAGCCTCCTCTGATTCAATTTAGAGGAAACATTTATGGGGTTTAAATTGTTCCTGGCAATTGTGAGCTCTGTTACATTTTAAACAAATGCATTTTATATAACATTTTGTTATGTATAGTCCTGAGAAATCTAAAAATATCCAATCAAATCCCATTTGCAGACTAGTTTTACTAGCAGTCAGTGGTTCAATTGTTCTTCCCTCTTGGAATAAAGAGTGCCTTAAAACTGATAACTGTGAAATACACATTTCTAGCAGCACTTTGCCTCAAATAAAATAATTAAAACATTTCTACAATCAGATCAAATAAATCTTTTAAAACAGCATGTAGACTTCTCATTCAGCGATGTGTAAGTCCAGTACTGTAATCAAACTTTAGATAAGTTTGGTATGACATGATCTAAATGCGTAAACTTCCTTTTTGTTTACTCTTATTATTTCTTATATGAGAAAAAGCATAATAAAATTAAATAGTAGTGCCCTGCTACATTATATACATTTTAATTAAATATTACATATATTTTCCTTGCAAACCTTTCTTATC